AGCCGCACTTGCAGTGCATGTGCAAACCAATTTACACGTTAATTGCATTAGTCCCACTCAAATCGAAGGGGTTTGCGGATCGAATCGGTTAGTGGCATCAGCTTAGTCCTCAGTGGGATGTCATCGTTATATCGGTGCGCCTGGGGCAACCAGCAGATCTACAGACTTGAAGGTAAACACCAGTTCGTCATCGTTGTGACACGTTTTACATTCTATTCGTCTAGTATACTTGTAGTTAGTTCGCAGCTGATCAGAGATCGTTTCTTTGCCAAAATTGCCACAATTGCCAAATGGCTGTGGAAAGTTGTCTCTTTTATTAATTTTCGTCACTTTTGCCTCTATTTGCCAAAACTGAAATTAATTAAACTATTGGCGAAGGAAAAACAAAGAATGTTGTGCCAAAAATAAACGCAAATTAAAGCGAATGACTAGACAATCTCGTCACGCTGCCTGCGCTCTCCATCTGCCTGGGAAATTGATGGGGTATGGGGTATGCACCTCCATTTTGACTCACCCTGTACTTATATAAAGGTAATCAAGCATAGCATTACTGCTTCCGCAGCCCAGTATGGAGGTGTTCCAGGGAATGCGGGCTTTTTGCTCGCTGGCCAACTAAACAAACGATGACACAGTAGTGTTGGTCTGTTGCCAATAGTTCGCTATCGATTGTGTGTGGACACCTTTGTTGTCTTGAGGATGCGACTTGGCCCCCCTCAAAATGAAAAGAAGCGAAAACACATCGGTGACAACCGCCAGTTCTCTTCAAGTTTGTATCTGTTTACCTTTCCCAGATAAGCAGTACTAGCACAGACATAGACGTATTGCTCTGTTTCTGAAACTCACTACAGTCGGGTCAAAATTATCACCTCCCATTAGGGCACATATTGCCCAACTCATTGCCAGTTGTTAACGAATGTTTAATTTGGGATTCCATGCCTTTTGCGATTACGACAGCTATGTACAAGAATACATATAATTAGATCTGTTCGGGCTGTGCAAGGAATGTTTTTGTTATATATCATGCACTCCATTTGGCATTTCTGCGGCTGAATTTATATGAAATCCGCAAATAAGTAAGTTTGCTTGGAATGAATCCAAAATACCTACTTATTCCTATGTCTATGGTGGTATTTTTAGACGCCGTCGCGGCTGGCAGAACAAATTTTAATAGCGTCGCAGATATGTATATTTTGGTTGCCACATATGTTTACCAGATAGATCTACTAGAACCGATTTACGTCAGACTCCATAAGAACAAATCGAATCTGAATTCCAATGATGCGTAAGAGGAAAGCCTTTACCTATAAATATTAAAGACTAATTTACCTCCAAGTCCAATTGGGTACATACGTGTATGTACATACACGTATATAATTTCGTCGATTTTCCAGCCCAGTTGTAATTGCGTTTGCTTGTGCGAAGGTCATCAGGAGTTGATTACAGGTACTACAGCTACATGTGCTCGCAGACTGCAAGGCATACTCCAAGAAACTGGAGCAATCGATAAACCCCATTCAGTGTACCCCCTAGACCCCTGGCTGCACTTTCAGCACTCATTCAGGAATCCAATTCTCAAATCCCCACACGTGCACCGCCACCGGCGAATCCTTTCACAATCGAACACTCGATGGTCGCTTTAATGGCTCTGCGGGTGCCATAATTCGGTTTGTTTTTGTTGCTCCTGGTGACCATGTGATTATGGGCGGAAAACACGTTGGATACACACGTAGACGTACTGGGCACGCAAATAGATACTTTTTCGTCACTCATATCGTTTGGTCAGTGCAGACAGCAGAAAAGCAGACAGCAGAAAAGCGGAGAAGCAAAAAGCGACAAAGGCGCTTCATTAGCTACCCATTTCCGAGGTCGATGATCGCTGGACTTTCCTATCCGTCCACGCCCCCAAAAACATACATATTTGAATTTCTCTATGGCTAAACTACCTTTCGTGTTTACCTGGGCGCACCAGGTGACTTCCCGGGGGAACTGGTGGGTTGTCAGGGCTAATTAATCCAATGTATATGGCAGGAATACTGAATCAAAGCGGCCATGTAAACATGTAAACATATATACAGAATAGCATAGCTCTATAATAAGATTTAATGTCGAAGCGGTGGTTTAGGGGATTTTAAAGGATATCGTGTATCCTTATGTCCTTTTTAGAGGCACTTTGCATTGATGATTGGATGGCTGGCTGGCTTACTTCTTCGCGTAATGACAACTAAATTGCCCTCCTGAGTGGTCAGTAAATCAATACTAGGCCAATGAAAAACCAGTAGCAGAAATACAAACACGTTTGCAATTCCAGTAAATCACGCGATTAAATTGAAGCTTTGTCTATTTAGTCCTCCATATAATATCTTCCAGAAAGTTTACAAATATCGATACACATTTTTTTACTTAATAATACGTATATTGTTGTTTACTATTTCAACTGTTTTTAAGCAAAATGTATACTTATTTCATTATTCATATTCCATTCAATTATTTATTTATTTCATTTACACAATATATGTAAGTGACTAAAACGTGATTGCACTTAAAAAATGAGTCGGAATATACAATAGTATATACAATCTGACGTCTCTGGGTTATTCCAGTGTGCCTCAGCACAGCAAGCCTTTGAAAATCAAGCCATAAATGATAGGAATCGGCAACGTTGACTTAAAATGACAGTGAAACGCAAAATCCAAAGTGCAGTAGAATTTCGCGACTGCGAAAAGTCTCGGCGGTCCTTTTGACTGAACCCACTAATTGAATCGTGTCGTGTCGCAATAGATAATATCTGAAAGTTGAGTGAAAGGTGTACCCGTTTATTTGCGGAGCCATGTCAGGATGGCAGACTCCGGCAAACACGCGAGTGGTGGTCACAATGGAGCGCACAGCGAACGCAGGAACGCCCAAAATGGACGCAACGGACACGGACACGGACACAGCCAAGGACAACAGCTGCAGTTCCTGGACAATCCGCCCCCCAGCCAAGCCGCCTTCAATGTGCACAGCCTATGGCCCAGCATACAATCCGGTGTCCGCCGCCTGAGGAGCCAGGTGCTCCGGCGGACAGCCACCACGGGTCCAGCGATGGCTCCGTCCGGTGGAGCGGACCTACCTCCCTCGGACAACGACCAGGCCGTGTCATCCAGGAGCGGTGTCGGGATCACGGAACCAGACGGCAGTAACCCGCATCGAAGACTGGACGAATCCTCGGTGGTGGGCAGTATGCAGTCACTGAAAAATTTCCTTAAAAGAACACGCCCAGGCCGGAAAAAACGAAAAGGTGCCTATATATTAACTCTATTAACTGTTCTTAAGCTTTTACATTACATTTTTCAAAGATATATATGTACATATGCATGTATGTATAGCTTTTATATACATAATGTCTAGCTAGGGAATGTCTTTAAAACTAAGAAAACGATAAGGTTCTTGAACCACATGAGCCTATTAAAGATTATTTTTCAAAATACCATGAAGTTGATATGGTCATAAAAGTTTAATATTTCCTGTACAAAGCGATAATTATTAGAAATCATACGGAATGCGGTATAAAGTTTTCGGCAGGAAGTAGTTAGCAAAAAGATTTATTCTATGATATTTTTTTTGTATATATGTAAGGTATATATCATATACATATATAACATTTTTGAATTAGGGTACTCATTGGTCGAGTCTTACTACTACCATGTTCTACGTCACCAAAGCATTTTACTTAAGGCGCAGTCGCGCTCTCTTCGCACTCTCTTCGCCTCTCTCTTTTCGCACGCTGCTCTCCCTGGTTTCTAGCCCTTTGTTTTGCTATCCCGTTTCGCTTTCGCTTTTGCTCCTGCATTTCCAAACACCCCCCACACCCTCCCAATTCCGCACCCCCGAGGGGTACGCAATGTTTTGGGTTTACTGATAAATCGCAAGCTTTATAAGCTCCTTTTGGAGAATGCAGTACGCAGCTTTGCGGGGTGGTGGGTTGGCCTCCAGGGGTTTCCAACCTGGGTGACCCACACCCGCACCCCTTCCCTGTTGTCCTTTCTGGGTCCTTCGAGCTCGTGGAAATTTCGTTTCAGTATTTCAGTCGTAGTATCGGCGCTCAGGAGAGCGCACATAGTAAAAAGTGTGTGGTGAATGTGTGTCGCAGAATATTTGCTAATACTTTTAGTAAATTTGGATAATCGTTCGCCAATCAGTGTCAGCTGAGCAGTTACCAATCAAGTTAGCTAACTGAAATCAAAAAGATCTGTTTAGATCTGTTGGCCAGAAATTCACGTGCCAAAGGCATTCAACTTAGTGGTGACAAATCGATACCTGAAACGGAAAAGTGCAGGCACGTTGCCAGGTGATGGATGTGAAAAAGTTAAGCGACCAGGTGGCCAGGCAAGGAACATTGGGGAACCACTCTGATTAGGTGGTCAGATGGTGCTCCGCAGGAATCCCTTCAGTGGCCGTGTGTATAGGCAAATGTGCATGTCGCAGAATCCTCCGTACGCGATGAAAATTGTGTTTTCTTATACGCAGTGATTGAAAACAGGAGGCGCAGGCGCCATCCCACAGGACTACTCTTATACCAATTGCCAACCGTCACGCCCACTTGTGGCTGATAATCCTCTGCCGAGGCTGTGACCACCATCCTGGGGTTTCCCAAGCGGCATCAGGAGGAGACCGCCGGCGAGAGCATTGCCTTCGTGCCCGTGGGCGATTGCGACTCTGGATCCGACGAGCTACCCGGGCCCGAGGAAGAGGAAGCGGAGGAGGAGGCGGTGGAGTCGGTGGTAACGGCGCTATCTGGGGATCGGGCAGGACGCTTCCGTTGTCCCGCGCTCCTACGCCGGCTCAAAATGGACTTCCGTAATGTCTACAAGGCGATGCGCATTCGTTGGAGTCGTAAGTCAAAGCAATCGTTTGGATCCTTTAGATCCCAACAAAATTCTTTAGATTTTGGATAGATATCTACGGTCTAGATCTAGATATCTACGGCTTGACTAAGGGACTTTCAGTAGCGTTAGCTAGTGAATAAGTAGTTATAGCAAGCCTAGCTTCGAACTCCCTTTTCCTGTTGTGTCAACCAAATTTTGAAAGTCCATCGCCATGCTGGTGCGCTGCCCGGTGGTTTGTCCAGTTGAGAAACTGGTCACGGAACTGAAGAAGCACCACGTGATTCCGCGTCTGTTGGCCTGCAAGCCGACGAAAGTGATCAGTGTGCTGTATCCCTGCGATATCGACATCAAGCCGGGCGTCACGATAGTGATTAATGAGGTGCTAAAGCAGCCGATCATTCGGTTTAAGGCCAATCCGGAGCAGTTCCACACGCTGATGATGGTCGACTTGGACGTGCCGCCGGAAAACCATACGGAGTGGCTCATTTGGATGGTGGGCAATATTCCGGGCTGCGATGTCGCCATGGGTCAGACGCTTGTGGCCTACGACAACCGACGGACCATCCAAGGAAAGAACATCCATCGAATCGTCTTCCTGGCCTTCAAGCAGTATCTGGAGCTCGATTTCGACGAGGATCTCATTCCCGAGGGCGAGGAAAAGGGTCGTGCCACCTTCAATTGCCACAAGTTTGCCAGGAAGTATGCATTGGGCAATCCGATGGCTGCCAATTTCTATCTGGTGGAATGGATGTGGCGATGGACACCTACTTTCCTGACCTCCGAACATGAAATATAATAAAATCGCAGAGTTTTCACCTGTTTCTTAGAAATAATTTCTCTTATATACATATAATATATATTATTCAGAACGACTTTAATTTAATTCCTTGCCATGCATATGTATATATTACAATAAAACCCATTATATCAAACATATTATGTGATTGCCCTGATTAATAGTAGCACTCAAACGATAATGGACGATTGCTAATCAGCAAAAATGAGAACGTAATTGAAACATCGCTGTCCACTGTAATAAATGCCGTGTAATTTCCCGATTTCTCACGTTTTGATATCACCCATTAATCAACCCTTTCATGAATATTTCCAGATGATGAGGACTTCACCTCGTCCGCTGGGTACGATGCAGATGATGGGGAGAGGCGTGTCATAAACCTAAATGGGCCACAGCCCACTAAGTACTGTAATAATCGCATAACGACGGCAAAATATAGGTGAGTAAGTGGCCGCCATTTAGCGCCCGATAGTAATCATGACCCAAATGGATGGATAGACACGAAGTAACCAACAATCTGTCAATCTGTCTCGTTTGCATGCAGTTTCATCAGCTTTTTGCCCGCGTTCCTGTTCGAGCAGTTCCGGCGGTATTCCAACTGCTTTTTCCTGCTAATTGCCATACTGCAACAAATCCCGGAGGTGTCGCCCACGGGTCGTTACACCACGCTAGTGCCACTGATGTTCATCCTCTCGGTGAGCGCCATTAAGGAGATAATCGAGGACATTGTAAGTGCTGAGATGGAAATATAGCCAGTAAACCCATTAATATATTGCCATGACTTTCAGAAACGACATCGGGCGGATAATGAGATCAATCACCGATCGATAGAGCGCCTGGACAGTGGCTCCTGGAACACTGTTCGCTGGTCGGAGTTGTCGGTGGGCGATATCATCAAAGTGGGTATCAACACCTTCTTTCCCGCCGATCTGATTCTTCTGTCGTCCAGGTGCGCAGCCAAGTTAACCCCAATTTGGTTTGATATGTTTAATTTGCATCTGATGCGTCCGCAGTGAACCGCAGGCCATGTGCTTCATAGAGACGGCCAATCTGGATGGCGAGACGAACCTGAAGATCCGACAGGCCCTCCCAGCCACCGCTGAACTGCTGGAGACGAAGGATCTGCAACGATTGCAGGGCAGGATCGAGTGCGAGCTGCCCAATCGGCATTTATACGAGTTTAACGGGGTGCTCAGGGAGACTGGGAAGCCGTGAGTAATTCGCCTATAAATAACAACTAATAAAATAGAAAGAAAACTAATTCATCAACCAACGCCACGTTATTCAAGATACAATCTCTAATTAATGACGAAACTGCAGATGTACTTCTGTCCCCCTTCTGTTATTTCAAATGAATGAAAACTCACTAAACACCTGTGTTTCTTTTTCAGACCCGCTGCTTTGGGCAATGATCAGGTGCTCCAACGCGGCGCCATTCTGCGGAACACGGCGTGGGTGTTCGGGATCGTGGTCTACTCCGGGCAGGAGACGAAGCTGATGAAGAACTCTACCTCGGCGCCACTGAAGCGCTCCACCGTAGACAAGCTGACCAACACCCAGATCCTCATGCTCTTCATGATCCTCATCTCATTGTGCATCGTCAGCGGCCTGTGCAACCTGTTCTGGACTAGGGAACACTCGGAAACGGACTGGTACCTGGGCCTAACCGACTTCAAGACCAAGAGCCTCGGCTACAACCTGCTGACCTTCTTCATTCTGTACAACAACCTGATACCCATCTCGCTGCAGGTGACGCTCGAGCTTGTGCGTTTCCTGCAGGCCATATTCATCAACTACGACATTGAGATGTACCACGAGGAGTCCAACACGCCGGCCATGGCCCGCACCTCGAACCTGAACGAGGAGCTGGGCATGGTCAAGTATATATTCTCGGACAAGACAGGCACCCTCACGCAGAACGTGATGGAGTTTAAGAAGTGCTCCATCGCCGGATACGTGTACTCAGCCGAGCGAACGCCGGAGGAGTCTCAGCTGGTGCAGAATATACTCAGTCGCCATGAGACGTCCGCCGTGATCGAGGAGTTCCTGGAGCTGCTGTCGGTGTGCCATACGGTCATCCCCGAGCGCAAGGAAAACGGCGACATGATCTACCACGCTGCCAGTCCGGATGAGCGGGCTCTGGTGGAAGGTGCCCAGAAATTTGGCTACATCTTCGACACACGCACCCCGAAGTATGTGGAGATCAATGCGCTCGGCGTGCGAAAGCGCTACGAGGTTCTCAATGTCCTGGAGTTCACCTCGTCGCGTAAGCGCATGTCGTTGATTGTGCGGACGCCGGAAAATAAGATCAAGCTATTCTGCAAGGGAGCGGACACGGTGATATACGAGCGCCTGGCTCCCCAGGGTCAAGCGTTCCGGGAACAGACGCTGCGTCATCTGGAGGAGTTTGCTTCGGATGGATTGAGGACCCTCTGCTTGGCAGTCGCTGATATAAGGCCGGATGTTTACCAAGAGTGGAGTCAGACTTTCGACAAGGCGTCGGTGGCTCTCCAGAATCGTGAGAGAAAGCTGGAGGACGCGGCCGATCTGATTGAGAACAATCTTCGCCTCCTGGGCGCCACAGCAATCGAAGATAGACTTCAGGATGGTGTACCGGAAACGATTGCCTCTTTGCTGGACGCCGGCATCTATATCTGGGTCCTCACCGGCGACAAGCAGGAGACGGCCATCAACATTGGCTACTCCTGCCGTCTGATAAGCCACTCCATGGACATCATTATTCTCAACGAGGAGAGCCTCGATGTGAGTTGATTTCTAACACTTTGATAGAGGAACTTATGTCGTTAAAATTGATATCTTTACTTCTAGGCCACCCGCGAAGTAATCCATCGCCATTATAGAGTGTTCAAGAGTTCGTCGGCGAAGGACGTCAATGTGGCACTAGTCATCGATGGTACCACGCTGAAGTACGCCCTTAGCTGTGACCTTCGCAATGATTTCCAAGATCTATGCATTCTGTGTCGGGTTGTCATCTGCTGCAGAGTGTCCCCAATGCAGAAGGCCGAGGTCGTCGAAATGGTCACACAGAGCACGAATGCGGTGACCCTAGCCATTGGCGATGGTGCCAACGACGTGGCCATGATCCAGAAGGCGAACGTGGGAATCGGAATTTCTGGAGTTGAGGGACTCCAGGCGGCGTGCGCATCGGACTACTCGATCGCCCAGTTTCGCTACTTGCAGCGCCTACTCTTGGTCCACGGTGCTTGGAACTATGCTAGGATCTCTAAGCTGATCCTCTACAGCTTCTACAAGAACGTATGCCTGTATGTAATTGAGCTATGGTTCGCCGTCTACTCCGGCTGGTCGGGCCAGATCCTGTTTGAGCGCTGGACAATTGGCCTGTACAACGTGGTCTTCACGGCCATGCCGCCGTTCGCGATGGGACTCTTCGAGAAATTCTGCACGGCGGAAACGATGATCCGGTACCCGATGCTTTACAAAACATCGCAGAATGCGAAGCTCTTCAATGTGAAGGTGTTTTGGATCTGGATATTCAATGCACTACTGCACTCGGTGTTCCTTTTCTGGTTGCCACTGGCAGCGTACACAAAGGAGGTGATCTGGAGCGATGGCAAGACCAGTGATTACCTATTGATGGGCAACTTAGTTTATACTGTAAGTACTTCTCGTGTGCCCAGTTGATTCAATTGATCTTGATTAAGCCAATTCTTGTTTTAGTATGTAATTGTAACTGTTTGCCTGAAGGCTGGACTCATCACCAATTCGTGGACCTGGCTTACCCATCTGGCCATTTGGGGCTCCATTGTCCTGTGGTTCAGTTTTCTGCTGATTTATAGCCATGTGTGGCCAACGTTCAGGTTCGCCAGCAACTTTCGCGGCATGGACATTCAGCTGCTGTCGACGCCAGTTTTCTATTTCTGCTTGATGTTGGTGCCCATTACCACGCTGCTGATCGATGTGATCTGCAAACTGTGAGTAAATGAGGTGTGCGCCATGGAATGTAACTCATTGAACTGTTCCTTATTGTAGCGTACACAACACCGTGTTCAAGACACTAACGGAGGCTGTTCGCGAGACGGAGATCCGACGCAGTGACATCTCCGAAGTGATGAACGAACCGCGATCTTCGTAAGTATCGAAGCAATCGCCTACCAGACCCCCGTAGTCACGCTTTTCCTCCGGACTGGAGGCTCCCCTACATTCCTCCATACGTATTTAGTTTTTGTTTGTCCAAAAACGAAATCAAACTATACCCACTTTCAATTTGAATTGTTGCGCATTTGCTAAATATTAACTTGACCCCCAAGACGTTGATACTTCTATAAACCTATCCTCTACTACCCGAAACAAGGCTGATTGAACATATGTGCCTGCACTTTATACCCTGCTTCTTGTAGTCTTTGCACCAGTATCGAAACCAACCTTAGTTATTATTAGAGTTTGTTTGGGTCATAAAAGCATAACTAAATCCAAATCATTCCGTTACCGCACTTTCACCTACTCGAATTGTGTTTGTTCAAGTTTCGATGTATGTTAGTTGCTGTTATATCAAAACCAAAGTATCTTCTGAATATTGGCCACCGAAAGTTGCTTCAAATATACGTATACCTAGAATCGAACACACGAATACCAGAGAAACAACAAGTGTTGACCCAGGACCTTTATGATAAGACTACAGACCGCAAACAATGAGAAATGAAACTGTATTAGTGGATAAATGTGTAAATAGTATAGAGCTTAGAGTAAGATATGTTTTAAACACAATATTTCTTGTCATTTGTTATCCATTCACGAGTGTCATGTGTAACCTATTCAATGCATATAAAAATATAGCACATCTAGATAATGTTATTTACGAGTTTAAACTCATGTTTAGATCCTAATGTTATGTATTTACCCCAGTTTGATACGCCTTTTGTAGACCTTATAGAGCAATTTTGAATGCAATTAAAACATATAAATTGGATTTACGTATATATATAATGTATATATATTGGCTGTGTTGAGGTATTCTCGCCTAGCTGTGTCATTAAATAAAATATAAAGAAACAAACACAATTTTACTGAGTTAAGACAAAAACTGCCAGCATCAATCAGATTCAGAATTACCCAATCTTCGACTGCATCAACATGAGCAAGTATCTAATGAATTGAAATCCCTAAAATGTAATCTCTCTGTCTTCCTCTATCCCCCATCGATCCCTGGCGGCGACGATTGTCCCCTCAATCCCAAACCCATGCATTCAATCGATCCATAAATCCATTCGCAATCCCTGCACCCATGCGACGCATTAGTGACTCCGGTTTTGGATACGCCCTCGGCAAGTTGATACGATCCAGCCATGTCCTGATTTCGCAAGATCATCGCTCCCAGTCGGAATCCAGCAGAGTGTCGAATCTGCGTGTGGAGAACCTGGAACTGGAGGCCGACACGCCGCAGCAGGAGCAGGACAGGCAGCGCCAGAAGTGGCGCGGTGGTCAGATGCCCACTGCAGTTGCCCGGAGTGCGAGGAACAGCACCACATCACCCACCACGGCCACTCTGCACATGTGAGAAGGGGCACGGACTGCCCTCGTCGAAGGCAAAGCTAATCGAATTACTTTTGTAGTTATAAAGTGTATCTGTTAAGTGCGCATTGTATAGTACTGTAACTTGCATTCCGAATGGGACTATTTCCCGATTCCGCATCCAGAGAAGAACTATCGAATTCATATCATATTTTCATGTGTATAAGCTAGTCCCAAAACGCGGATACTTTTACATCGCATACTGTATGTGCTAACCAACTATTTGCCAACTGTGATAGTGTCTAAGAAGTAGCCAGAGGTGTTTAGGCACGTAGGATAGGCCAATAATCAGGGAATGCTATTTTGTGAGACGTCTTATCCTCATTCCCAACAAGCCGAGTTACTTTATTTAAATCTAATCGTCATTAATGTGTTAGCTGGATGTTGAACTTATTCTTCTAAGACACTTACCAGGTTGTAAATTTACATTACGTTAACAAGCCTAGTCACGAATGTTCCGTTCGATTCAACTAACAATTATGATTAACCAACCGATATATATGTATACTCATCCCAACGTTATTGGAATGTGATGGTACCCAGACGATATGTATGTATCAGTTTTGAATATATGTATCCCGCACCGTCCTCCCCAGCTCGCATGCAATTTAATTCGGCCAATGATCTATATACTAACGCAATGGCTGCTGGTTGTTCAATCCGATCTGCATACGATCGGATCCGATTCGATCCGCTCTGCACCTATGTTGTATGTACACGTACTTATGTTTTATTTTGTATTACTCGACACCCAACAACAAGCGACCTAACCAATCACACCCAACACCTACTCGCAGAACCCAAACACACCCAACAATAACTAATCAATATATAATTTAATAAAAGTCAAAGAGTCAACAGCAAAATTCTGAAACATGTTTATTTGAAATTTCTCTGAACGTTCTCTGCGTTAATGTCTGTGTGCGGTGTGCGCAGTACCATGTATGCCTTGGGATCGATAATTCGGTGTAAGTAATCGTGGATAATGCTGAAACATCATATCTACACTCTCACAACACAACGTTCCATCCACACACACCCACTCTGCCAGTGGCACTTCACCCAGTCACAGGGTATTTTCCAGAAGGGAGGTATACATAGCATCTGTATACGGGTAGATAGGACCTCAAACTTGTAAACCTATGACACTTTATGGTACGAACCTTATGATTTACGTAGCATCAGAGAAACGTTGTAAATTTGCTCTCCAGAACATCGTATCGCATCGTATTCCTTTTATTTGCCAACCTTAAAGTATGTAGGCTCTACTCCATTTATTACGTATTCTGCATGCCCCTTCAACTTGGTACACACCCGTACACACCTTATTGCTCATCCTGATTTGATTATACATTGTATGTATGCTCCTCTGCCCAAGCCCAGAAAATCTCAATAATCCGATTGAGTTCGGACTCACTAGTGTAATTGCAAGAACTGTGTAAAGTGCTAACAATTCAAAATGGAAACTAACTTATTAAGTGACCGCCCCTGCCACCGAAATTGAAATCCTTTACTAAACCATATCCGACCCGCTCAAAAATTAACCCAACAGATTCACGGAAACGGCCCGGCTGCTACGTAATGTCTTTACCCGTCGTGCCAACACGAGGGTCGAAACGGATCTCGAGCTATCGCGTGAGTACCACTCAGTTGCAGGAACACAGCCATTAGTGGTAGGACTTCCCGAGCAGTAGGTCCGCATCCTGGGGGCTGGGGGTAGCATTGCCTCCATTTCGGGGGCTCCCTTGGAGGTACATCTATCTATGGGACACCGGGACCACACTCACACATTACAGATACCACACACATGACCACACCTCCGCAGGACTGCGATTTATAAGATTTTAACTAATCGACTTTGTCTACCTTCTCAGATGGCTACGCGTTTTCCCAGGAGGAGGGCGGCGTTGTGCCGCAGTCTATCATTATACGTTCTTATGATACGAATCTGCCAAAGCCCGAGGGAAACTAAACTGGAAACGCTGGCACTGCGGAGCTCACGGTGCACATGTATATAGGAGACGGCCAGGAGCAGCTACACACGTCAACATTTAGACTTCGATTCAGATTGGAACACACATACATATTTAGAGCACACTTCTGGTAGGCCAAACTAAGAAACCCACATATACATCACATTTATTCTCTATGTGTCTTACACCAGCAGTAATTGGAAAACATTTCGTAGAAGCCTAAACTAAACTAAACATTGAATATTGCGCTTATAAGTTTATCTGTCTTTGCTGTTATTTATTTTGTAAGTTCGCGAGGAAAGAGGCTAGAGTTCGGTCCTTTGTATCTACACGGATGTGATACGGATACAGACTTGCATTCTTTTTTAAAAGTCTATCTCTAAGTAAGCAGTAAACATTTGTACCTACATATGCATTACATTATTGTGAATTTCAAAAACATATTGATGTCAGCAAAGATTCTGTATTTTTCGGTCGCCGAACCGCTGATATTTAATGGAAATAAATCATATTTCTCTAGTTGCTTTTGCCTTTTGGCTTTTAATATGGGGCCTGGAAATTGCGATGAACTTTTGAATTTCACGTTTGGCGCCAACTGTAAGCTTAACAGTTGATGAACAGTACAGTGTGTACACACCACTGTTCTAGTGTTGTCTGGCAGCTCGACTGCTAAGTAATTGTGCACATATGGCAGCGCCACAAAAATATACGTTTAAATAAATACCGCGTTTATGAACCGATGTTACTATTTCCACTAGTGGTAAGTGCAGCTAGTGAAACAGTGAACCATTTTATTTAATGTATTACTTAAATACGTTCAAAATCATTTAAAAGCTTTGGCCTCCACTGCTTGGCCATTGGCCAACACTAGAAGATCACCGATGCCTTTCACAACACTACATTTGCAAGCCGGGCTTTGTTATCGCACAAATTTTATGTAAACAAAAGAAAACTTCGCTCTGCTCCATGGTGAGTGGTTTTGTGTCCTATCCCACAAGTTTTTTCATCCGGCGATCCCTGCAGATCAGCTCAGCCCCCCTGATCGCCCTACTCCTCGCTTGCCTGGGGTGTGCGGCCAGTGAGAAGGTGCCCAACATTCTGCTCATCCTGTCCGACGATCAGGATGTGGAGCTACGCGGTATGTTTCCCATGGAGCAGACGATCCAGCTGCTGGGTTTCGGGGGCGCCCTCTTCCACAATGCCTATACGCCCACGCCCGTCTGCTGTCCGGCGCGGACGAGTCTGCTGACGGGCATGTATGCGCACAACCACGGCACCCGGAACAATTCCGTGGCTGGTGGATGCTACGGATCGCACTGGCGGCGGGCCCTAGAGCCCCGGGCTTTGCCGCAAGTCCTGCAGCAGCACGGATACAACACCTTCTTTGGCGGGAAGTACTTGAATCAGTACTGGGGCGCTGGGGATGTGCCAAAGGGATGGAACCACTTCTATGGCCTACACGGCAACTCAAGGTACTATAACTACACACTGCGCGAAAATACCGGCAACGTGCACTATGAGTCGACGTACCTAACCGATCTGCTAAGAGATCGTGCCGCTGATTTCCTAAGAAATGCTACACAATCCGCGGAACCCTTCTTTGCGATGGTGGCTCCACCGGCAGCCCATGAACCCTTCACTCCCGCCCCAAGGCATGAGGGCGTGTTCTCCCATGTGGAAGCCCTGCGCACGCCCAGCTTCAATCAAGTTAAACAGGGTAAGAAGGTTATCAATTGTGATAGTCATATGAGTAATACACAAAACCTTTCAGACAAGCACTGGTTGGTAAGAGCAGCCAGCCGTCTGCCCAACGAAACAATCAGCACCATAGACAAGTATTTCCAGAAGCGCTGGGAAACGCTGCTGGCTGTGGACGAACTGGTGGTCACCTTGGTGGGCGTGCTAAACGATACGCAATCGTTGGAGAACACCTACATCATTTACACCTCCGACAACGGCTACCATGTGGGGCAGTTTGCACAGCCCTTCGACAAAAGACAGCCATACGAAACGGATATTAACATACCGCTGCTAATCCGAGGACCTGGAATAGCACCCGAGAGTCACATTGACACTGCCGTCAGTCTAGTGGACTTGGCACCCACAATATTGGCCTGGGCCGACATCGACACACCATCCTACATGGATGGGCAATCATTTCATGAGATTTTGCTCAACAAAAGGCGGAGGGTTCCGTTTTTTGAACGTTCCCTGTTGATCGAGTACTGGGGCGAGGGAACACTGGCCACGTACAATCCGGAATGCCCTTGGTCACAGAAGGATCGCTTGGCGCAGTGCACCCCTGCAGCGGATTGCCATTGCCAGGATGCATGGAACAACACCTACGCGTGCTTGAGAAATATTCGCCACCGGGAGGATCGCATTTACTGCGAATTTCGGGATAACGAGGTAAAGTAGTATTCAACATCTTCTCTTATCTATATTCCATTTACTTTTCAGAACTTTTTGGAAGCATATGACCTGCAATTGGATCCCTTTCAAATGACCAACATTGCCTATGATCTGCTGCCCATTGAACGAGCTTTGTATTCGCTGCGCCTAAAGAATCTCACACAGTGTTCTGGCCACTCGTGTTTTCTATAGATATGTGCTACAATATATACTACTCCCAACCTAACCAAATAGTCATCCAAATCAAATGCGAGTACGCTCGGCGCATTTAGTTTTCGGGATATTTTTGTATTCAGATACCATGTGATTTATGTGCTATATACATAGTCTCAAATTAATCATATTTTAAAGCCTAGTTATATTTCTTTGGAACCATTTCAGTACTGAAAACATAAATACGTTAGATACGGTCACCGGTTGAATGAGTGAGATTGCTTACGTGCTGGTCAGGACGTCCCCTTCCGGACACGATGGTATGACCATTACTATCGATTGTAACAGTACGTCCGTCTGGGCGCTTCCAAACGGATACATTATTGTCCCAAATCCCTGCCTGATCGGGGCGTGCCACAAAGTTCTCTCCCTGGACGCGGGCATCGTTGATCCCACGGCGGAAACGTTGAGCGGAGAAGCCACCATTTCCAAAGTCAACGGTGCGATCTGGTCGCTCCACATGGAACTGGGGACTGCGGCGACTGCGTTGAATATAGACGCCGCCATTACCAACAGTTACGGTGCGATCTGGACGCGCCACATGGAGCTGCGGACTGCGCCGGCTGCGCTGAATATAGAATCCTCCGTTTCCGACGTCAACAGTGCGACCGGGACGCTCTACGTGAAACTGCGGACTGCGAGGGGCACGCTGTGGGCTTCCCACTACCTTAGCTCCACTGGGACCTACGTTTTGGGCGGAAAAACTGGGGCCACTGATGGTGTGGGAAGCTAAAAGGAGGCACATAATATTGGGATCTCGGATAATGTGTATAAAACCTTAAACGTACCTGGTCCACCAGCATTCTTTCGGTGTACAAACGTGTTGCCCGAATCATCCGTGTACACATGCTCACCCCGTTGAGGAGCGTTTTCGAACTGGCCACCCACACCCGGCACGCTGTAGGTTCCTTCGTTCTGGCCCCTTATATAGACCTGGTTGCCCGGCGAACCGAAGACATGCGGTCCATTGCGACCGTCGTAGGTCTGCTGTGGTTCCGCAGCTGCAAGGATTACAATTGTGTCATATAACACCTTTCACAAAAAAGTAGATTGTGTTCAGAGATTCTTACCGACGCAGATAACGCCACAGGTAGCTAGTACTATCAATCCAAACGATTTCATTGCGATCAGTTCCAAAGCGCAGCTTCAACTGAGTGCAGTGGAACAGCTTCTAGTATTTATAGTCGGCATTATCATTCGGGCGAGCTTGTTTACAGCATCGTTCAGAATTTCCCAAACGTCACAATCCGATAGGAACTGGGTGCTTGCGATCGGGAATTTCTAAAACTGTTGTCGCCCTGACCCGCAGGTAACCATAAACATTGAACGCCTATCCCGCGAATATATGATAGCTTAGGTGGAAACTAGTTAGTTGCTACTAAGTTGTATTAGAATATGGACAGAGTATCTTTAGCACGTGCTTATAGAGCTTCGTCGAGCTGAATCAACCTGTCGGGTTTTCTTAGCCACCAGATAGTTGCATTTAAAGCAGATTGCCTTTGGCACGAGAACCTATTCCTGGAAGTCTCTTGTTACTAGCTTTTTGTGGCTTGCAACTGCAGCAGATATTGGCTAAGTGAAACTCATTCTGCTGCTGTCGCTCGGGATAAAAATTGAGATTTTTAGGCCAGCCATTTATCAGTTGATTTAAGTGAAGCTCGACTAATTGTCCAATAAGTTCAGCTTATAAGTGCTTTCTTTTTAAGGTTAATACAAGTACATCTATATGAGTTATAAGCTCTGACTGGGAATGCCTAAATAATGTTTGATTTATTTTTGGTTTTCAGAAAAACATTGCTTATTAGAACTTTAATTTGAAAAAACGAGTTAATGTTTCTAGAAAATACCTTAAAATAGCAGAATTTCTATTATTTTGAATATTATAATATTAAGCCAAAAGCAGTTTGAAATAGACAAGATAGATAGGAGATAATTGTGCTGACACCCGACTATCCACCATAGCCAGCGGCCACTGTATTCCCCGCTCAGTGGATGCGCCCACCCATTTGAATACAGACTGCCACATGCATTGTCTTCCGATGGAGTCAAATTCGATTCGCTTGCCCTCATGTTTATTTAATCTGATCAATTGGCGCAGCGTGTCACATAAATTTGGACAATTTTAAAAATGCACAAAATACACTAAATTTGCTGGTTGTTTGTCTTGGCCAGACCCAGGATGCCAACGATGCCGTGGATGCCATGGATGCCGAGGATGTCGAGGATGCCGAGGATGGCCACGATGCCGTCCGGCGACAAATAGACGACACTTGTGACCAAACCATTGCCGCAAAAGGGGGTTTGCCTTTGGCCTCGGTTGGCTTCTGGCCACGTCGATGTCGGATGTTGGTGCAACTCAACACCTTGGCAAATGAAAAGAAATTGCCCGGCGTAGAAGGCCTGGGCTCTCCGGCTGTTTCCGGTTGCACGTGCAGATGTCTCAATAGCCCACCTCCTACTCCTGCCCCTCCCACAATTCATCCTGCTGCCTCCGCCAACAAAATACTTCAGTGCAATTGCATTTAAATCAGTTGGCCGTGGTGCTCGTGCGTTGTTTTCCTTCCGAATCCTGCGGATCCTTCGGAGCCTTCGCATCCGTCGAGACCTCCGTGTGCGCGGCACCCACATAAATTATGCACAATTTTTTGCCAGCCAGCCAGGAGGTGGAGCAGAAGGTCCACGTCTCCATGGCCTGTGCGCCATTTGTTCATTTCGAGACCAATAAAATGAGGCATTTGAAAGTTGTAAATATGCTGCTGCCATTCGACGTTCAGTGTCTGCGGCTCGTAAACTGTCGGCCAGTGTTTTGTCGGTAATTTTGTATTTGCCACAGTTGCAATGCGCTTAATGAATTGCTTGTGTGGCGCGGCTTGTTGCATATGCATAAGTTCGGGGAAACCCGTCTATTTCTATATTGCATTTAAATGTGACGCCTTTGGCGGACCTTTCCTTCGCTCATCTACATATATCCCAATATTCAGTCGAGGCGACTGGGCTGCCAGCGCTTTCTTTGTGTCGCCGTGTAACATAATATTTTACTCAGGGATCGCAGAGAAACAGCGAGCAGTGGAAAAATTTGTTTGGCCAACGGATGGACAGCTGTAAAATGGGAATAGAAAAAACAAACGGAATGGCTCGTGCCATGTCATGTTTTGTGATGCACGGTTCCAAGGATGTGCCGGGTGTCCTTTTTCTCCTCTATTTCGCCCCTTTGTCATGTCGCTCGAATGGCGCACACCCAACCTCCAACCACCCAGGCATCCAACCATCCAGGCATCCCAGCATCCGCGAACCCATCTCCTCCTTTGAGCACTCGCCGTGACAAGGCAAACGAATTGAGGCATAAGTAGGAATCGCTGTAATATTTCCAGGCAACAACCCATCCGAGTTGCTGGCCAGTTCGGATCACTTCTCAGTTCTGTTCCAAGTTCAGTTCTTAGTTCAGCTCAGTTCTTGTCGTTGGCCGTTGGCCGTTGGGCCACCGAAAAACTTTAAGCCAAGACAATGCGACATAATCGAAAAACAACAGACGGATGAGTTCGCGCGAATTATGCTGAAATTGTGGAGCCCTCTCATCTGGCTGGTTTGGTTGGGGGCTGAAATGTTTACTTTTGATTGACTACGCTGTTTCATGAAAGCGTCTCTGGCCGGGATTACCAAAGTCCATTTTTTTAGGGGGACATGCATCCGTGTTGGCTGGATTACATAGCTCTATACATTTATATAGCTTATATTCATATATTGGAGATGTTCTAATTATAAGATATTATTTGATATTAGAATGTAAGGCTTAAATGGCCGAGATGGGTCTTTATATATTTTATAGCTTGATTTAATTATAAGATATTAAGATGTTGTGTTCACTTGAAAGTAGCGCTTGAATGGCCAGGATTTGGGTCACCACAACTGTGCTTTTGCTCATTAAAAACACTATCTTAGATGCAACCAACCAACCTACAGTATCAGCACGAGGAAAAGTACGACTTCGAATCGTTCATACGCTCTGGGGACCCGTAATCCTGGAGTCAGCAAAGTCTAAGCCAAATCGATTATAATCCGGGTCCAAAGTCGTTTCGGCTCGCTCCGCCCAGAAGTATGCAACACTTTGCAGTCGCCTGCCAGCGCTGGCAATTGCAATCGAAAACTGTTGCATACTTGGCGGCTGCACGGAGATGCACTGCCTCCCGTTGCGAGCATATAGATATATGTATGGCCCCACTTTGGGGCCATATATGCGTGCTGGACTATTTATCAATTTATTACGCGCAAAAAGTTTGTTGTGCTACTATAAGCCAACTGTCGCTGGCAGCGATGTGTGGCATAAACCTGTTGTATCCGCACACTGACGTCGTTCAATGCTCATTGGGAATACGAGGAGTGTGCGTGCCGCAAAATTAGCCAGGCGCACTCGTACGACATTCGTATGTATATAGAATCTGTATATATACGGAAATCTGGGCATCAGGTGGCTGGGGCTTTGTTAACGGATTTATGCAGCCATAATAAAACTTGGGCGCTGCAAATTGATTTATGGATGGGAGAGCGCGCAAACAATTGCAGATACTATTCTATCTAGCTCGCAGGAGCTCTGCTGGCTGCAAAACTTTTAATTTTCTAAATGTATTCGCCGACAGAGAACTTGATGCCTTCGATACGCAACGCACATAAAGAAGCAAACCCAACTGGCGGCGAAACTGGAAGGGAGTTGGCCCAAAGGCGGCCGAGGGGCGAACATCCGTCCCAGAGAGCCGAGCTGCAATTTAATGGCGGGGCCAACGTAAAAACTGGAAAATTATGACCAAAATGAGAATTTAATCGAAATACGTGAGTGGAAAAATGAAAATTTGACTGCAACTTGGGAACGCGTCTGACTGGCCGAAGACCGAAGCTTTCTCACCTTTCTTCTCTCTGGGAAATGTGCTGCAGTCAACGAAAGAGGACTCGGTTTGTTCATACGCATATAAATAGTGGTTCTTTGTAGGATCTATGATTTGCAAATATTTTATACTTCTTGTTTTAACATTTTACCATTTGAACAGCTTATCGGTGGCACGTATATGGTTGGCTATTTACTTTTATGAAGACATTGATATTTCATCTAGAGAGGTAATATATAATAAACCGCTTTAACGGGTATACTTACTTAAACTTTTTTCTTAGCTTGGAGCTCCGTAATTTGTAACAGTGCACAAGTAGCTAGGCAACAGGCGGCGGAAAGCAGCATAAAATACCCAGTGCAAGCTCATGCAACTTTTATCACGGCCACAAATGCTACTGCTACTACTACTGCTGCTGGTGCTGGTGGCTCCTGGCAGCTGGTTGGTGGGTTTCTGGTTGCGGGAGCATCCTGGCGCACTCCGGCGTATCCTGGCATCATCATCAGCGCTGGCTTCATCTGCTTACGCGTTGCCTTGAGGCCCACGCCCACCGAAAGCCGCCCCCTCGCTGCAGGATGTGGCGCAAATTAATGCCACCGCCAGTGACTCCTGCTGCCTCGGAATCGAGTGGCACGTTCCTTTATTTTTCGCCCGATTCCCATACGCAGGCAGACAGACAATTCTCAAATGAGTCAACAATAGTAAAATGCTTTATTTTATTACCAGGCATTGCCAGGCGAGAGATCGGCCAGAGGAGCTACCTTCTAGGAGCTTGTTTTCCTGCCCTCCACTTGCACGCCGCTCGCAGTTGTTGATCTTTAATTACTGGTTCAGTTGGCAGTGTTTGTGTGCACACTTGCTACTCGGCAGCGTTGCAAGTAACCTGCCACGCTTATCGCTAATTTGGAATCTGTTTTCAGCCCTGGTGATGTCTTATAGCTGCAGTGAAAAGTATCTGCGGCGCTAGTTCGGGCGCTATTCGGGGACCGATGGTGTGCACTGGATGCATTTAGGCGCTAAATATTTAATTCCCGCTGGCAACATCCGCTGCTAATTGCTTATAATTAACTAAATGACAGCCCGGGCCGCGGACGTGACGGCAACTTCATCTGGAGCTCATAAAGCAATCACATGCACTTGCACAACTATAAAAACTTCCGTGTCCTGTCCCGAGTCCTTGGTCCTGCGTCCTGCGTCCTTCGTCCTTGATTCTGGCTTGTCCGTCTCTTCCGGCTGTCATGCTATTGCCATTAGCCTGGCCTTTACTGCTCTGCAACATTTCCTTTTGCGACTTCTTTGCTTGGGCTCGCATTTTCCTCCTTTCCGCACCATTCCCCACTCTTTTTTTCCTTGCTGCCGTCCGACTTTTGGCAATTTTCCATATGCAACACGCAACAGACGTTTTTATGTTTTCTGTGTGCGCCACCCATAAAAAAGTAAACGAGCGGCATCCGAGGAGGCGACGGTTCATGGTCACGGTCTTCGCCTCCGTCTCCATCTACGTTTCTGAAGCTGGTGAACTGCCGGAGCTGGAGCTGGAGATGGAGCTGGAGCTGGAGCTGGAGATCCGGAAGGGATGACAATGGTTCCGGGCAAGGCAATGGAAGTCAATTATCGAATTAATTTAGTTGCCCAGTGTCCGGGAAGTGGGCAATGGTTGCGTTTGCACTTGATGCACATCATAAATGCGAACGGCAATGACTAGAATTGGGGATTATGGCCATTACGGCCGGATAGCTGGAGCGGAATTCAAATTGTCAGGACCAGGAGCAGGACCAGGACCAGGAGGGGTAGCTGGGCATGATTGTGAAATCCAGCAATTAATTAAATTATCCGGCGAAATGAAATTTTTGTCGCCGAAAGCAACAGCTAGCCTGCCCCGCAAACATTCCCCGGAATATGCATGTATCCGTGTCCGTGTCCAGACCTCGTCCTTCGTCCTTCGTCCTTGTCCGTTTAATTGATGCGTTAATCCGCATATTGACAGCGGTGCCTGCGGTGGCTTTATGGAAATATGTCCCCAGGCTCAGCCGCATCGCTACTTCGCGGCCCTGTTGAAAGGATTTGTCCGGGCGCATATCGCACCACTGCCACTTCCCGCATCCGGTGGCCTGCGTCCTGCGTCCTGCATCCTGCATCCTGCGTGCTGTCACTGCGACGCTGGCTAAGTAATTTAATTACATGCCGCAAAATTATCGCAATATTGTTTATTGGCCAGCGGCGCTTGACGCATTTTGCGTGAGATTAATCCGACATTCTTTGCCCGTGAACTATCCGCTAATCTGTGGCGGCAGCTCGCCGCAATTTGTCAATATTCACGAGTATAATGCAGAATCACGCATGGCCACATTGCGTATACGCAACGTTAGCATTGCGAATTTAGCGGGCGCTAATTTATTTATAGGAGGTCCTGCTCATAACTACAAACTGTCTACAAATATTGCCACTTTAAATCTAACTATATTTTTCCATAATGAATTTATTCAAAGTGAGTAGCCTTAGAACCCAAAATTCAGACATTAATGATGTTAGCAAACCATTGTCTAAACAAAGCATCGAATCAAAAGCACAAGTATAACTCCTTGCGATGATGCAATTAAAAAAGGCGGCTTACTTTGTTGGCAGCCACTTGGGATGAGTACAAGAGGATATACACGAGCCAATCCCCCGATAATTCTGCCAACTAAACAGCAAACAATGCGTTTATTCGTATTGCCTGCTTCATTGGCATTGTTTGGGGGACTATAAAGCGATGGTAAAACTTTTAATCAAAAGCGAATGCGCTCTGTGCCCGCTAATTACATTAGTTCTGCCTGCTGCTGGTTGGCTTACATACGAGTGTGTTTGACTACATATGGATACACGTAGTTGGGGCTACTGGGCGCACTGGATGCTGCAGTTGCTCCCGCTGAACGTTTGAATATTTTCAATTATTTCGAGCGGCGCATTGTGCTGACTTTGGCATTGACAGCAAGCAGGATAACACACACACTCAGACACACACATAGACGCAGACGCACACACACACACACTCGCAGCGACAGAAGGAAATAGGAAATGTTATTGTCGCTGTGCATCCCCACTCCATTTCCATTTCCACTTCCACTTCCACTGGCAAAAGTTTTGGTATAAAACAAAAATCTGATTTACATGGGCGAGAAAACAATACGCCCGCTGGGAAATCGGAGTGGGTGGGTATCATTTACCCCTGTGCCTGGCAGTGTGTGTGTGTGTGCAGTGTGTGGGTGGCAACAAAGGACATCTCATGTTAAACAGCTGTCGGAAGCCGCCGGCGCAGTCGTCGTACGTGTGCGAAAACTTGACACAATGAAGCAGTTGCCGCTCGGCGGAGAGGGGGCGTGGCGGGTGGTGGGCGTGGGCGTGGGCATGGGCGGACTGGTGACATTGCGACTCTTATCGGTGCACGTTGTCAAAGTTGTGCGGCAGACACCTGTTGCCAGCCAACGCGTGGAAAACTGGAAACCCCATTGAGGTCCAGTCTGTTGTGGCCGGGAAAATGAACACCAAATAATGTTTTCTCAAATGAATACGAGGGGGGAGTCAAATCATTCAAGTCCAAATATCAATTGGGTTTCAACAGACAAGTTAGTTAAAGTTTACTTTACCTTATGTCTTTTATATATTATATTCTTGCCACAAACCAAGTAGGCAAAAGCATTTGGTTTATACTTGACTGAGCCTTTGGACACGACAGCATGATTTTTCTACAACTCTGGTGGGCGCTGTTGGTGTTCAGTAGTCCTGGCTACGCGCAGCAGATCTCCAGCGAGGAGCAGAAGCAGCCGGCGGAGGGCAGCGATAAGTTGCTTAGCTTCAGCCGGGCAGTGGAGCTGGCTCGTCCCGAGTTGCAGGAGCTGAAGGCTTCCTACGCTGGTCGCCAGGAGCAGGACGCTGGCAAGCAGCTGGATCGGCGCAACTCAATCGACAACATGCTGGCCAGTTTTGCCCAAATGGATGGTGACAAATCGAAGGCGACATCTGAGGATGAAGAGCGAGTGCTGCAGGAGGCGGCGGACGCTTGGTTCCGCGACATCCAGGCCAGCATGTCCAAGATCAATCCCTACCAGAAGCGCTCCGGTGGCAAGCAGGCACGATCCATAGGCAAGCACATCATCGACCAGCATAACAAGGCCATGGAGCGCACCGAGATAGGAAAGGTTAAGCTGAAGTACAAGCAAATGGGCGATGACACCATTATTCGCAAGTACCAGGTGACTAAGAACCCAGGTGCTATGCAGGACACTGGCATGAGCCAATTGGATATCAAGCTGAAGCAGGTGCAGCAGATGCTGACCGACCAGGAGCGCGTGGAGGCCAAGAAGCTGGAGAAGGCGAAGGAAGGGCAGAAGAAGGTGGACGAGTCGCGCTGGGTGGACAAGTTGCCCGAGTTCGGTGACAACCCCATTCCGGATGGCATCTACGAGAGCACCCTCAATCGCCTGGCCTTTCCCCATGCCATGTCCCACAAGCTGGCCCACGAGGCCAACTACAAGCTCTCCAAGATCGAGCAGGAGGCCTCCGAGAAGGCCTCCAGCAAGCACGCCAGACCCGGTCCCCTCAAGCAGCTGAAGCGGAGCTCCTGCAGTGGCTTCAATCCCATGAATGAGATCAAGCTGAAGACCAGCAGTCGGCTGATGCTCAAAGGGCTAGGTCCATCGCTGCCCAGTAACGCCCTGCTGGACATCCATCGCTACCAAATGGTGGACAACATGATCCGGCGGAGGGAGCTGCAGGAACAGCAGAATCAGCAGCAGCAGCAGCAGCAGCAGCAGCAACTGGAGTCTAGTGAGGATAGCGACGAAGTGGAACAGCGAATGGGAGTAAATAACTTAATATCACAGAATGAGCACTTGGAGTACCTACAGCCCATCAATACCGGCATGGATGCGAATCGGATGATGGAGCTGCCCCAGAGCTACGACTACCGAGTGCCCCAGTACGATCGCTTTCATCCTCTGAATCAAAGACAAATGTCGAATGTGCGGGAATACGAGAGAACTAATCGCCTGCCCCTCGACTTGGATCGCTTCAAGAGGGAACCCCATATGGAGTCGTCTCCTCTGGAGGCTTTGAATGAAGCCGTTTTGGATCCTTTGTCTGGAGAGGAACAGGTACTCAAGTCTGAGGATCAAAACATATCCGACCATGAGTTGGCCATGAAAATTCGAGTGTTGGACATTAATGAAGTCAAGGCCTTACATTCAACCAAAGTAAAGGACACACATGAGGAGCTTAAGTTGGACGAGGAATCCCTAATCAAGCCCGAAGCTAAACTGGATTCTGAGGTCTCGCCCATCGAGGGAAAGTTTGAGGATAGGTCAGAGGTCGATGTGGAAAACAAACTATTGGGACCAGTAAAACGCGAGGCCAAGAAAGAGCTAACTAACCAAATTGGTGCTAAACTGAAATATGATGGATCTGCTTTGGATGCTAAATCCAATGCAGAGGCGCCTTTGAAAGGAGCTGTACCACTTAATTTGGCCAGAAAGAGCGAACTCAATGTAGCTACTAGTGCAGATTTGTCATCCGACTCTGGAAAGCAAGACAGTTTAAAGAAATGCAAAGGTCCTGAAACGCCTGATTGTCCCGATAATCATGACAGTAATCCCGATTGTGACACGGAGTGCAAGTCGGAAACGGATGCCGAGAAGGATGACAGCATTGTCAAAGTCAACATCAAGCTAAAGCTGCAGGAGCCGGCAGACGAGAAATCTGAATGCGAGGACATCAGTAAAGTGGAGGCCAAAGCTGCTGCTGCATCTGCGCCGAAGGTGAATCCCGATGCGGTGGTGAAGCTGCTGGCCAATGAATTGTCCCTGGACAAGGACCGTGGAAAGCGGCAAGCAAGGCATCGAAGATTTCGTAGACACAACGGGAGAGCCAAGAGATCCTTGGAGGACAACGAGCCCGAGCAACAGCAGCAGGAACCAGAAGATAAGCAACATGTGGTGACCAAACGTTTGGTTCCGCTGCTGGATGATTTCGAAGACCACAATGGCAATCATCCGGGTTTCGGGAACCTGGGTAATGGTATGCTCACCCCGGACGCAGAGGACTCCGGGGAAAGGTCATATCCCAGCCATGAACTGCTGGCTCACTTCGATGAACTGGAAACTGCTCATGGCGGCGACTCCCTGGTCACGATATACGATCCCACCAAGGAAGTGGTGCCCATGCTGAATAAGCGACCCAATGGCGGCTTTCAGGGGCAGCAGCCTCCGCAGATGCAATTTCCACAGCAGCAGCCGCAGATGCAGCAGCAGCAGCAGCAGCAAATGCAGCAGCAAGCACCGCAACTGCCACAACAGCCGCAACAAGTGCAACAGCCGCAACAAGTGCAACAGCCGCAACAACAGGATCTAAGTCGTCAGCGGCATCAGTCCAGTAATTTCCAGGCCAGCTTTAATCTAACCCATTTGTTCAATGAGTTGCAAAAGCTGCAAAATATGAAGGCACCACAGCAGCAGCAGCAGCAGCAGCAACAACAGCAGCCACAACAACAGCAGCAGCAAGTGCAACAGCAAGTTGTGCCACAGCAGCCACCATTGCAGCAACAATTCCAGTTGCCGCAACAGCAAATGCCCGTGCAACGAAATATCCACCAACTGGCCAACAAGCCCATTTCGCCACCCATTAAATCCTTTGGAGTCCATCGCTACTTTGGACCCTTCTTCAACAAGCAACTGAAGCACGAACCCTACATGGCGTCGCTGGAGACCTTGACGACTATTGATCCCAGATGCGTGTCCATCACGGCGAGTTCCAGTGCCACTCCCCTTGGAAATGTAACTATGCCCTTCACTCTGCCTGCGAATTGCACAACTCCCGCCGGTCCAGTGGCATCCACTCCAGCCCCAAGTGGCAATGAATCGATTCATATGGATATCGGGTGCAATTCTCCGGATAACATGAAGCTCAACGTGTCCATAAATGCCAATGTGTTTGGGGATCCTAAAACCAAACAGTTCTGTGGCAATGGCTCCATACGCCTGCTGCCCGCATATAATGAATTGAACCTGGGTGGTCAGATTGATCAGCTTCATGGAGGTACTGCACAACTGGGGGACGATCGGGATGATGTGAGCGTCAAGGTCAAGGACGAAAGACGTATACGCGATGTGGGAGAAGAGTCCAGAGATGAGTGGGAGCCAAAAAGCCCAAAGGAGAAGCCAAGAAAGCAAGAGGGTCACATCAGGAGACCTAGTATTAAATGGAACAAAAAGCATAAGAATCGTCACCAAGGGGCGAAGGCAAAGTTGAAAGGGGGTTCCATGGCAGATGCTTATGAAGCTTCCAAGGAAGCTGCAAATGAAACACAACATGAAGGAGCCAAAGCATCAGGAAAGTGGTCAGTTAAAAATGGTTAATATTTTGGCTATAACTTTTATATTCGTATTTTTGGTTTCCTTAGCCACCGACCACGGGTGGAAATACCAGAGTCCCGCTCGGAAAGCTACGATAAGCTGATCACGGACAAGATCTCCGAGGACATAGTTTCCGCCGTCTTCGAGGCGGTTGGCAATGATCCGGGCATGGACCGCTTGCTGGCGGTTCTGGAGAGGAATCGCAAGTGCGCGAATAAGCAGACCAAGAACTTCTACCAAATCCGCAACGACAAGACCGAGAACTATCTGCATCAGACGGAGACCATGGTGCGGGACACGATGGAGGCCATTAGCAACATTATAGATCAGCAGGTGCGGCGACGCGCGTGCATTCCACTGCGTCCGGATCTCCAGGACTTCTATGACCTGATACTGAAGACGTCCAACGAGGAGCGCAAGTGCCGCGAGAAGCGACAGAGCTCACTTCAAATCCTGGCCGAGGACTTCAGCCAGGATGTGCGTTTACTCGATCCAAGTAAGATCAACCAAAAGTCGAGGATCGTCAAGAAGTTGCTGCGGCAGTACGAGGATCTCTCGGTGGAGGATCAGCAGGCGGCGATTGGTGTGCGCGATGAGTTGCTCCTGGATCTGGTTTACCTCCGGAAGATGGCCGAGTCCGCGGAGCGCTCTCAACGCAACGCCCGACTGCAGCAGGTTCTGAAGCAGACCAGCCTGGACGAGGTCCTGGAGAAGAGCGCGTCCAACGAGTACTCACCGCGCTTCATCAAACTGCTGAAGACGGCGGAGCTCTACAAGGAGGCGGGTGAGCAGCAGGCCAAGGCATTTGTGGGTCTTTAGTCTGCTGATTTGTACTTATTATTTTTACATTTGGTTGCATTAACTCGTTGTTGTTTCTTTTAATTTAAATTCACTTTGCTAGTTCATTAATTCTTACGTATTTGAACAAATTCTGAATAGACATAACTAAGAATAACAAACGTTTTATTGGAATAAATATTTGAAGTAATATTTTTAAAGGATATATAACATTTTGTTTAGCCAAAGTAATGGGAGAGCCCCAGATTGGCGCCCAGATCGGTCTGGCCCTTGAAGGGTCCACTTGTCCACTTGGAGGCCGTGCTGCCAAGATCGAGCCTGGTGTTGCGATCCTGCGACTGCCAGAGATTGGCCCGTCCACCCAGCTCCAACTGCTTGCCCAGTCCGGGTATGTTGGCGTGCGTCAGGCTGGCTCCATGACCATTGATGTGCGAGTAATCCAGGCCAGCTCCATTCCTATCGAACTTGAAGCCATTGGCCAGCTGGTTCTGTGAGGCAAATGCCTTGGCATCCAGATTGTGGACTCCGTTGTTGAACAAGTTGGCGGTGGCCGTCTGCTGGAAGCTGTCCCGCACACCGGGCGTATGGGTTTTGGTCAACTCCAGGCCGTGTCCATGACTGCTCAGCAAAATAAGATTAGTTTCGATATTCAGCAGACGCTTATCCAGCAGAGACTCACTTGTTGTAGGCCAGTGTGGCGCCGCTGGTTACGGGAGTGGATGCCGGCTTGGTCTGGGTGTTGCCCGCTGCGAACACTTGACCAATCACATGGTGATCGGGAGTACCTACGGCCTTGCTTAGATCCAATCGGGCGTCGGCGCCACCACTCGGATTGGATGTCAGTGAGCCACCCAGCACCTGGCGGCGCGCCCTGTAGATTCGGGGTGGCGGCGGTGGAGGTGGATAGTAGATCAGTGGCGTGGTATACGGACGCTGGGGCAGGGCCACCGCAAGGCAGCCAAGTGCGCCAATGATGACCACGATTAGGAGAACTACTTTGCTCATCTTGGATGACTTTGGAGCTTCTTGACTTGGCGGCTGACTACTGACTGTGGATGCTGACATGTGGTTAGCCTGCATTATATAGCAATCGAACTCGGAGCGGGGCTTCCCGTCTATACAGCCAGTGAACTACCGATTTCTAGATGGATGCTTTGTCATGTCTTATCTGTAAGCTGAGCCGCGTTTCGCACTGGAATCCCCGCACGACCAGGTGGATCACACCGCCTGATAAGAGCTTGTGCATCCCCTTGGCGGCGATTTTCACGCTCTATAGGGTTTTTTCTTTTCATTCAGAAGTAAGAAAAAGCTTTTAAAATAAAAATCTTCATACAACATTTTGTTACAAATATAATAATATAATTGTTAAACAATTCTTGTCTATCTCTGCATTTGATATACACCTTTTAATGCTCATGCTTTCCCCCAGACCTATTTTATTTACTTTATTAGTTCGTCTTGATGTTGCAGAAATTCAAAAAAATTAAAAAATATCCCAAGTTGAAGTTCTAATCTCCATAACTCCATATCTCCATAACTCAAAGTTCTATACTCCATAACTCAACTTATCTTAATCGGATTTTGAAGTGGCATACCTCTAAATGATTCTGGCGCAATTCTCTAAAAATCTGCATTCAAATTTAGAAAATAATTTTTTTTGTATTTTTTTTGTAATTTTTGTGATGTGATGATGTGGAAAGTCAAGAAAATTAAAAAATGTCCCAAGGCTGAAGTTCTATACTCCATAACTCAACTTGTTTTAATCGGATTTTGAAGTGGCATACCTCTAAATGATTCTGGCGCAATTCTCTAAAAATCTGCATTCAAATTTAGAAAAATATTTTTTTTCAATTTGTATGTCATTTTTTGATGTGTTGATGTTGTACAAAGTCCAAAAAACTAAGAAATGCCCTAAGGCTGAAGTTCTCAACTCCATAACTCAACTTATCTTAATCGGATTTTGAAGTGGCATACCTCTAAATGATTCTGGCGCAATTCTCTAAAAATCTGCATTCAAATTTAGAAAATAATTTATTTTTTATTTTTTTTGTAATTTTTGTGATGTGATGATGTGGAAAGTCAAGAAAATTAAAAAATGTCCCAAGGCTGAAGTTCTATACTCCATAACTCAACTTGTTTTAATCGGATTTTGAAGTGGCATACCTCTAAATGATTCTGGCGCAATTCTCTAAAAATCTGCATTCAAATTTAGAAAAATATTTTTTTTCAATTTGTATGTCATTTTTTGATGTGTTGATGTTGTACAAAGTCCAAAAAACTAAGAAATGCCCTAAGGCTGAAGTTCTCAACTCCATAACTCAACTTATCTTAATCGGATTTTGAAGTGGCATACCTCTAAATGATTCTGGCGCAATTCTCTAAAAATCTGCATTCAAATTTAGAAAATAATTTTTTTTGTATTTTTTTTGTAATTTTTTTGATGTGATGATGTGGAAAGTCGAGAAAATTAAGAAATGCCCTAAGGCTGAAGTTCTATACTCCATAACTCAACTTGTTTTAATCGGATTTTGAAGTGGCATACCTCTAAATGTTTCTGGCGCAATTCTCTAAAAATCTGCATTCAAATTTAGAAAAATATTTTTTTTCAATTTTTTTGTAATTTTTTTGATGTGATGATGTGGAAAGTCAAGAAAATAAAGAAAGGTCCCTAGGCTGAAGTTCCAAACTCTATAACTCAACTTGTTTTAATCGGATTTTGAAGTGGCATACCTCTAAATGATTCTGGCGCAATTCTCTAAAAATCTGCATTCAAATTTAGAAAAATATTTTTTTTCAATTTTTTTGTAATTTTTTTGATGTGATGATGTGGAAAGTCGAGAAAATTAAGAAATGCCCTAAGGCTGAAGTTCTATACTCCATAACTCAACTTATCTTAATCGGATTTTGAAGTGGCATACCTCTAAATCATTCTGGCGCAATTCTCTAAAAATCTGCATTCAAATTTGGAAAATTATTTTTTTTTAATTTTTTTGGTATTTTTGTGATGTGATGATGTGGAAAGTCAAGAAAATTAAGAAATGCCCTAAGGCTGAAGTTCTATACTCCATAACTCAACTTGTTTTAATCGGATTTTGAAGTGGCATACCTCTAAATGATTCTGGCGCAATTCTCTAAAAATCTGCATTCAAATTTAGAAAATAATTTTTTTTTTATTTTTTTTGTAATTTTTGTGATGTGATGATGTGGAAAGTCAAGAAAATTAAAAAATGTCCCAAGGCTGAAGTTCTATACCCCATAACTCAACTTGTTTTAATCGGATTTTCAAGTGGCATACCTCTAAATGATTCTGGTGCAATTCTCTAAAAATCTGCATTCAAATTTAGAAAAATATTTTTTTTCAGTTTTTTTGTAATTTTTTTGATGTGATGATGTGGAAAGTCAAGAAAATTAAAAAATGTCCCAAGCCTGAAGTTCTATACCCCATAACTCAACTTATCTTAATCGGATTTTGAAGTGGCATACCTCTAAATGATTCTGGCGCAATTCTCTAAAAATCTGCATTCAAATTTAGAAAATAATTTTTTTTGTATTTTTTTTTTAATTTTTGTGATGTGATGATGTGGCAAGTCAAGAAAATTAAGAAATGCCCTAAGGCTGAAGTTCTATACTCCATAACTCAACTTGTTTTAATCGGATTTTGGAGTGGCATACCTCTAAATGATTCTGGCGCAATTCTCTAAAAATCTGCATTCAAATTTAGAAAATAATTTTTTTTGTATTTTTTTTGTAATTTTTGTGATGTGATGATGTGGAAAGTCAAGAAAATAAAGAAAGGTCCCTAGGCTGAAGTTCCAAACTCTATAACTCAACTTGTTTTAATCGGATTTTGAAGTGGCATACCTCTAAATGATTCTGGCGCAATTCTCTAAAAATCTGCATTCAAATTTAGAAAAATATTTTTTTTCAATTTTTTTGTAATTTTTTTGATGTGATGATGTGGAAAGTCGAGAAAATTAAGAAATGCCCTAAGGCTGAAGTTCTATACTCCATAACTCAACTTATCTTAATCGGATTTTGAAGTGGCATACCTCTAAATCATTCTGGCGCAATTCTCTAAAAATCTGCATTCAAATTTGGAAAATTATTTTTTTTTAATTTTTTTGGTATTTTTGTGATGTGATGATGTGGAAAGTCAAGAAAATTAAGAAATGCCCTAAGGCTGAAGTTCTATACTCCATAACTCAACTTGTTTTAATCGGATTTTGAAGTGGCATACCTCTAAATGATTCTGGCGCAATTCTCTAAAAATCTGCATTCAAATTTAGAAAATAATTTTTTTTTTATTTTTTTTGTAATTTTTGTGATGTGATGATGTGGAAAGTCAAGAAAATTAAAAAATGTCCCAAGGCTGAAGTTCTATACCCCATAACTCAACTTGTTTTAATCGGATTTTCAAGTGGCATACCTCTAAATGATTCTGGTGCAATTCTCTAAAAATCTGCATTCAAATTTAGAAAAATATTTTTTTTCAGTTTTTTTGTAATTTTTTTGATGTGATGATGTGGAAAGTCAAGAAAATTAAAAAATGTCCCAAGCCTGAAGTTCTATACCCCATAACTCAACTTATCTTAATCGGATTTTGAAGTGGCATACCTCTAAATGATTCTGGCGCAATTCTCTAAAAATCTGCATTCAAATTTAGAAAATAATTTTTTTTGTATTTTTTTTTTAATTTTTGTGATGTGATGATGTGGCAAGTCAAGAAAATTAAGAAATGCCCTAAGGCTGAAGTTCTATACTCCATAACTCAACTTGTTTTAATCGGATTTTGGAGTGGCATACCTCTAAATGATTCTGGCGCAATTCTCTAAAAATCTGCATTCAAATTTAGAAAATAATTTTTTTTGTATTTTTTTTGTAATTTTTGTGATGTGATGATGTGGCAAGTCAAGAAAATTAAGAAATGCCCTAAGGCTGAAGTTCTATACTCTATAACTCAACTTGTTTTAATCGGATTTTAAAGTGGCATACCTCTAAATGATTCTGGCGCAATTCTCTAAAAATCTGCATTCAAATTTAGAAAATATTTTCCTAAAATTTTTTTTTAAATTTTTTTGATGTAACATGTTGTAGAAATTAAAGAAAAATAAAAATTGTCCCAAAACATAAGCTCATGACAGTAGCAGCTGTTTGCAAATCTAGTCATTGGGTATTCATTTTATACACAGAAATCCCTGGTATAGGAATCAAATTCGATCAGTACGCGATGTATGTGCCCCTGCTCCACCGGAGCACCCAGATGGTGCTACTGAAGAGGCAGATCCGCCGGAAGGCTAAGGAGTTGCGACTGCGAAAGCGTCACGCCCACCACCGCCTACAGGTGATGCGTAGGATCCGTGACCACCTGCTAAGCCGGATGCGGAACTCCATAGACCACCGGCAACGGGATGCGGAGCAGAGGAGGAGGGAACAGGCACGGAGGGCAGTGGGCGGTATGCTGTCCATGTACAAGCACTGGCTGCGCAACTGGTCAACAGCGTTGAGGCTACAAAGTCGGCTAATTCGGCAGCAGGAGCAGGTGAAAGTGGGCCTGCGACGCAGACTTCGACACTTGAGGAAGCAGCTGAAGAAAGTGCGACATCCACAGACTCTGGTGGACAAGTGTTTCAATCGACTGTTCAAGGCGGTCAGAAAGTGGCAAAAGCGATCGGATTACTACGAGCTCATCAAGGATCAAGACAAAGTCTGGGAGGCAGAGGCCCAGGAGGTGCGGAACTACTTGTCGGATGTTCGGGGAAGGCGACCCCGGAAGACGAAACGTCGTAGGGTTAAACAGAATAGCGAAATCGAGGACTTTGCTCACTTCTGGAACACTGAAGTGGTGCAAAAGAACGCTTTGATCAAGAAACAAATGGCCATGGTAGGAAGAAAACCAGACTTGGAGATGGATGCAACACGCGAAAAAACAAGGAAACCCAAGAGGAAAAAGAGGAAAATCATGCCCAAGAAGATTTATTTCAGTTTAGACGATCTCGTAGTTCGCAGAAAAGTGAAGAAAATTAGAAAGGCTATTCGGAGGCCAAGGAAACCAGATCCATTGAAGCCATCTTTCGATGAACTGAAAATGCTGGTACAAGAACTAATAAGATTCAACTGGAAAAAAAAAGTGCTCAAACACCCGAAAATGAGCAGAAAAGCCATCGGAAAAGAACACAAAGTTATTTTTGGCAAAATGCCAAGCTTGTCCGATCTGCCCACCTTAAAACCGCAAATACGAATTAAAAAGATTTGGAAGAGGAGCCGGAAAGTGGGTCCTAAAAATGTAGACATGCCCCAGGAGCAGCTCACCGTTCCCGATCCGAAAATCCCTCAATCGAAATCTCGAAAGCATAGAAGGCGCAAAATGCACTATGTGGATAGGATTATTAAAGGCGAATTGAATGCAATCCTGGAGGCGAAGGCAAGGAAAAAGGCTACTCATGCTGCAAAAACTAGCGCAGCTAAAACTAAACAAAAGGAAAGCAAAGAATTGGAAAATCAGGAAAACTTAGTCTCACTATTGTACAGCGATTTGCCCCCGTTTATGCGGCGTGAAATTGAGCGGAAAAATCAGAACAAACTGCGTTCGAAATTGGTGAAAACTAGTTCGAGTAGTTCGACTGCGTCCAAAGAGGTTTTCATTGAATCCGAAAAAGTCAATAAAATGGAAAAGCCCAAAATAGTGAGTAAGCTTCCCAGTTCGGGCAGTGCTTCAGAAATCAAGAATCGATATGAACTACCTGCCGAGAACAGCCTTTCCCAAGTGTTTTTCAAAAGGGAAAGCGTTGTGTCCCTTAGTGACTCCATAAATAAGTTCGTTATGGCCACTCGAAACCGAAAATTTACCCGCAGATCTATTCGCATGCCACCCATAATACCCAAGAAGATACGTGTTGCTCCGCCAAAAGGCCAGAACGAAAGTCACTACCAGTCCTTAAAGAAGGACATCATGTACATCCACACTAGCCACGAGGATCTAGGCGCACTGAGAATGTCCAACCGGCAAGCCAATCGTAGTACAGCCAGCGAATCCGCTCTACACAGCCACACTTCTGCTCACCGATCTCCCAAATCGCCCTCCAAAAGTAAGTTCAATTATGATGTCCTGCCAAACGATCTCGATAAGATACTTGAGCCTGTGCGAGATGGCTACGACAGAACGGAAAAATCACCACAGGAGTTCCACTACGCCAAGGCTGTGGAGTCCGATGTGGAACGGTTTCATTTGACAGATCTGCACTCGGATGCAAAGTACAGACACTTGCAGTCCTCCCTGAAGGACGTTATAGAGAAAAACAAAATCATTGAGTATATTGCGGATGTCAATGGACTGATGCAGGACGTAGCCAACCATGACATGTGGTCCAACCTCCAGAGCCTCTACAACGAACTCGAAGAATCGGGACTCACGCTGGAGGAAAGAAAGGAAATGCTCGCCCTCAAGTACTTGGAGTATCTTAACGATGTAGTGACCCAGAAGAGCTATACGCGGTTGGAGCCGCCACGGGACAATTTGCTTAGAGTCGTGGATTCCGAGTTTCTGAAAGGGAAACAGAAGAGCCAGGTGGACCGCTTGATGGAGCGCAACTGGTGGACTAGGCACCGGAACAGCACACGGGTCATACCCTTTGGCATGCGTGGACTCAGGGGGAGCAGAAGTAACACATCTCACAGCCGCCGCCAGTCGCAGGAAATGAGAATGGACAGCGTCCTGCACAGGAAGCTCCTCGAGCAGGAGCTAAAGGCGGAGCGACTGGAGCGCGAGGAGCGCAGAAGGAGAACATTAAGCAGCTTCTTGGGTTCAACTTTTAGCCTGAACCCCAGCTTGGATCTGGCGCCCAACGATGAGCAGGATGTGCGGGACATCGAGTGGCGGTACTCCCTAAACAACATCAAGGGCATGATGAACCACCACCTTCAGATGTTCCAGGTGCGTATAAATAACTACCAATAATACGGAGTAAAATGGCATTTCCTTCTGGCTTTCAGGCTTTGGCGCGCAAGACGCGAGCGGAGCAGCTGATCCACAAGGATATGGAGGGAAAGATGGGCGAATTGTATTCCTCGACTCAGTTTCGACGTCATAAACCGGAGTCCACCACTCTTACGCTGAGGAAGAAGCGTAGAAATCTTAGGCCCATCGAGGAGCTATACTACTCACCCCGGAAAACATGTCGCCTGCAGAAGATCTCCGGTTCCTCGGACTGTTTGGCATGCGAGTGCCAAGAGCAGGAAATCGGGGCTTCGATGGTCCTGGAGAAGTGTCCCCGCTGTGGAGTAAAGGTGCCCGTGCCCGCGCCCACTACTCCGTTCCCCATGTCTTCCTCGTCCAGCTGCGAGATCTTGTCCAGCGGATCCATAGAGGCCTGTGCCAAGAACCGTCTGCTAATCAACACCCTCGAGGACCTTTGCACACGCTGTGGCTATTTCCATCAAAAGGGGCATCTTTGTGCACACTCACCCTTGAATATGCGGAAAACCGAGCTCCTAAAGCGGATTAGGAACACCGTACGTACTGCTCCCGAGTGTTCGACAATCTGCTGTCCACGCGGGATCCTTAAGGAGCCCAGCAGTTTTGATCCTTGGCAGGAGGACAAGGAGTGCAAGGAGCGGACTGCGGGCTGAGCACTTTGAATCCACCAAAGTGGCTCCAAAACTCCGGATATGCACGGATATGAGCACCAAATCAGCCGGCTGAGGCGAATGAAACATTTGGTTTAAGTGCTAAATAAATTCAAGTAATGAGTTTGCCTCTGTCTGTGGGTGTGCCTGTGTTGTTAAATGCTTTGCCAAGTTTCATAAAATATGCAAGGACTTTTGCAACACACACACACACACACACACGCCAACAAACACGGCCAAGCTCATGTGATGCACTCACGTAGAGGGAAAATGTCTGCGGGCTTTTAATACACTTGCAGGATGCTGCTCCTCCTGGCCGTGTTCCTTATCCTCCGGCTGCTCCACCCACCGCCCCTCGCTCGTGCAACAAAATTTCATCTTGCCTGCTTTTTTTCGGCCAAGTTTTTAAGTCGAGCCATTGCTGTAATGGAATTTTATTGCATACTCGCACTCGCATTCTGTTTGCGCAAGCGAAACATGTTTCAGACATTTTCATAAATGAAAACGCTTTAGTGCACAGCCGAAGATCAGAGCCGCCCTCCAGGAATCTGCCAAGCAGCAGATCCTATATTTCAAATAAAATGAATTAAGAATGTGGCTTTGACTGATTGTATCTTGGTAAATTGCTTACATGCCTTTGGTAAATCTGGTACTTCTTAATAATTACCTGTTTTATATGGTCTACTTTTTGCTCTTAAGTATTGACTCATTTTTTCTATTTTATATATTACTCAATTTCAGCAAGTAACTTAACCAGTGTGAAGTCATCGCCTTAAGCCATAATTAAAGCACTTGGTGACCGGCAATCGCACGACTGTCGAACGCAAGGCAATAACATTTCTGCGAAATTGATGCCCGCCGATCAATCATTTCCCAGCCTATGGATACCGGCCACTTGGCGGATTCCTGCTCCTGCTCGGTCTCAGTTTCGGCCTTCAGTCCACATCCACATCCACCTCCACATCCTCATCCACAGTGCCATCCTGCCCAGCGGATTGCTGGAGTGGGAAGCTGGCGTAAGCTGAGACGTTTTCATTTGCATTTTTCGCACAAATCGCCGCGAGGGTTGGGGCCAAAACAAACTGCCAAAACCGAATTCCTTTCGAGTGGCCATGGTCCTTCGCAGGACCTCCATCCGCCTCCGATTGGCGATGACTGCTGTAACATTATCTTGTTTGCTCATGACACGCGACGCGGCCCCAGAAAGTCCCTTCATGTCGAATCGTTTCCGGCCGTTTGCTGCCCGCTATTGTCAACTTGGGCACACAAGAAAAATGCTCCAAAAATTATTTTGATATTCAGAAATAATTTAAACAGTTCCACAATTTATGAACAAATTGCTAGTGTACAAACAAACGCTACAACTTGTTAAATAAGTTGCCAGAAAAAATACGAGCTTTTATTAATTAGTAAGTACGAGTAGCTGGGACTTAGCCCGTTTTTTTCAGTGCCTTTCAGCCGCGAGTTGCGATGCAGGACTTGTGATTTGCGACATCCTTTTGTCAGTTTTCTGCGGGTCCTGCCGCTGTCCTTTGTGACTTGATTCCGATGGCTTGTCAAAACAGGCGAACAGGCGAAATGAAGCGTGCAATTGTCCGCAATTCGCAACTTAAGCGGCCATTGTGCGAACGCTTCCGCATGGCTGTGATTGCGTTTTATTAGCTGTCAAATTTTAATTAATTCGCAACATCTTGGCCACGGCATTATGCATTCATTTTGCCCACAAATGGGCAGAAGAAAAGGCCAAATCCGGACTGCAAACGGCCGGGACAATGCCAAAGTGGGCACACAGTAATTATTGGACTCAGGTGTGGGCAGGACATGGAATATAAGTAGCCATAAAGGAGCAGCAAATTGGACTGCTTAAGGGAGAAAGATTGGAGCGGCTGGCAAACAGAAAAAGTGCCCACAAAGAGGAAAGCCATAAGATAAATGGGCTAACTTAAATTAGACTGGCTGCCAGCCGAGAATTGCTAAATGGGGATGTTCCACCTCGAGTCGCTCGCTTTTCAAATGCAAACCTCGGCCAGGTGAGGTCCATTGTTAGAGTGTCATTCTGGACATAATTTGGAACATATATTACGGGATAAACGGGTAAGTTCTTTCAAAGCGAGCAACGTGCCTATTAAATTTCATAAATTTGCAGGGACAGCTGAAACTAAAATCGCCAGGGGCATTTTTAGGGTCTGTCATTCAATCTGCCCTCATTGTTAGCAATCGCATATTAGATTATTGAATTTACCTGCAAATGCTAATTAACATTAAAAATATGAAACCTTAAAGTCGATGTGTGGTGTGAATTTCAGGCCAATTCGCAACCTGGATTAAAGGACAATGCCAAGTCTAAACGGCGTATAGGAACTACTTACGATAACTGCAATTTGCACTTAACCCTTGCCCTCAGTCGCAAGTTGCTTGGCTGTGGAATCTGTCCCTTTGCCCGTTTTGGTGACTACATACATCCGAGGCTTGTGCACTTGGACAATTAAAGGAGCAGCCCACACACTCACCCACTTGGCCCACCTAACTGACTCCAGCTAACCACTCCAGCCACTTGAAAAGTTGGCCGCAAAGTGCGAATGCATAATTAATTCCAATTATGAGTTTACCCAACAACATTGGCAACATTGGCACTCGCCTTCCTTCTCGAGACGAGACAAGATGCGTTGCGGGCCTGGGCGGAAGGATTTGGGGGACAAGGACTTATCAGCGCATCGACAGGATGGCACCCCAGCCGCCCAGCCGTCCAACCACCCAGGACACCCATGAACTTTGATGCCGGCGAGTGTCAACCCGTGTGGTGGTGATGTTGCTGCGGGCTCCTTGTGTTGCTGCTGCTGCCGCTGCTGCTTGTTGCATAGTTCGAGTGGGGCAAGTGCTCGGCATGTTTAAACACATGCTCAAGTGGCATTTAGACAGTTATCCGCTCGGGCTGTTATCTGGCAGACAATTGATGTGCCTGCGATAGGCACCAACTTTGCCTCAATTACAAAATGCTAAAAATTGCAATATCAATAACATTTTATGTCCTTGGGCGGGCTGGGGATGGGCCGGCTTGTCCTAGAGGGAGTCCTGTAGGTTTAAGGGTAACCACAAGTGCTGCGTCTAAGTGTGGCTGCCAGCCTTCAAAGCCGCCTTCACTATTAACGGAAATGCATTCTGGTTTTCCTTGTTTGGAGAGCATTGTGTCGCGTCTGCCGGGCTCAAGTGTTTTAATGGATTTTCCCAAGCAACATGCAGGATGCAAACCTTCCCATTCCGCTGCAGAGCTGGCTTAACCCATACCCTGTGATTTTACCGCCCGCTTCAAGCGAGAAATGTCAAGTTTTGGGGGCTCATGTTGTTGCCAATGACATCTCTGCACATGCATCAATCATTCGAGCCACGCAACAGCATTATGCCAATCAAAAGCAAGTTCAGTTCATAAAAGATAATAACCCGGCTTAGCCGCATGCCACTCAGGAACTTAATGCCGGGTCGCAGCTGCACGGCTGTGGCAGGAAGTCCAAGGAAAGCCTATAAATTTGCAGATTATTTGCATATTGCGTCTGCTCCAGGGGCACGTTTTCGGTTTTTTCTTTCCTATTTTATACAATTTTCAGAACGAAGCGCGGCAAATTCAATTTCGTTCACGACGCAAACTAATGTAAATCAAGGCACATTAAACGCGCAATGCAAACAATCATAAATCTGACTGGAATGTTGTCTCGGCTTTCTGGATCCGCTGGATTGGTTTTGGGCCATGGTCATATCCATTACGGTTAATCTGCCGCACCTTAAATGTTATCACCAAGCGTCGTACACAAAGCGGATATTTGTTTAGCTTGCAGCTGCGTCGTGGGGGTAAAAGTGCTCACTATCCATTTTACTTTTAAGGTGCATTTCTTGTGCACTGCACACTTGCATTTTAAATAGTGCACGTTTAGTACCTATTAAAATGTTGCTAACTGTGTAGAAAATATTCCTCATCCGAATCAATTACTCTGCTCATTCAACTGCCAATCTGTCCGCTCATCGGGCTGTCCGTCCGTATGAACGTCCAGATCTCGGGAACTACAAGGACGAGATAGAGTGTTGCGAGTCGGATATAACTGCTAAAGATTAATTGTTAAATTAAATTAAATTAATTGATAAATTAAACATTAAAATGTTTTCGAATTCGCAAATGTATTTAAAAACAATATATTTAAATGTATTTAACAATAGTGAGACGTGTCGTGAAATTAGCTGGAGTGATTGAAAACATAGTTACATAAGGCACATACGATAGATCTCAGTACGTTTTGCTCTGGCTTGTCAGTTTTTAAAATCGTATTAAGCCCAATTGACTAACTGCATTACGCAGCTGCTGACGGTTTGATTGAACCACCACTCAAGTGTCAATCGATGCGCCAACAGTCAATCAATGCCTGATACCCAGCATTTTAATTTATTCCTTACCCCGGTCAGTTCACTAGCTCGTCCTTTGAATATTTTTAATGAAATGAAAGCTTCCCCTCGCAGGACTGCTGACAGGCCATGCTAATCCTGAGCACGCCCGCTGCAGTTGATAAATGAGTCATTTGCTTAGTAATTTAAGCGTTCATTCAATAAGAGCGGAATGGCCAAAATCGTGGAAGGGTCAGCTTCAAGATTTGTGTAACCAAATACTCATTACATAAGCTGGGGAGTAGGGCAGCGAGGAGCGAGGAAGTAGCTGGGCAAACACAGGACTGATGAAAACTCCCTGAAACATGCTGATGTGGGGTATTCTTTTGGGGCGTGCACAGTATGTACGAGTATGTGCGCTAGTTAAGCCAAAAGCAAATATTGACAGGCAAAGTCAAATGCAGGGGCGTCGAGGCGAAGGGGGTCTTGATGGCATTTAAAGTAATCGAGTGTTAAAAACGGCAAACGCAGCCAAACAAACTCAAACAAAAGCAGGCACCAACCAAGCCAGCCACCCACACCCAGTAAATATTTAGTTGCTCAAAAATTACGGGTATATGTTTTCGGGCTGCCAG